ATTGGGGTAAAACCGATTCGATTTATAATGTATTTCTCTAAGGTAAAAGGTAGGAAGACGATTAGAGAAACTGTTCTCGATATCGGAAAATAGGTTAGATATTTAACCGTATTCCTACGTTAAATTTTAATTGGTTTCTAAAGCCTAGTTTTTTTCTAATCATTCTCTAATCCAATTCTAGCATAGTTCTTTGACCTTATTCGATTCGAGAACTACATATATTAGGATTCTAATGTAAAACAAAACCGTATCTCTAACGTTAGAGACTACATATGTTTGCTGAGATGTCCTTAAAAAAAGCGCCCATAACCCTAAACTTGAAAATACGCTCTGTTTTATTAAGAAATGCCAAAAATAATCTTTCTATGCGAATTCCTAATTCTAAGGTGCACAACTGTAAATACGATTAACTTGAAATCTCAATCTACTAATCTTTGTCTAGACAGGCCACAATCAGGGTTGCCAACTTCTGCCTTCTTGAAACTGGGACGCACAAGAAGTCTGCTCTTTTGCCCGCCCACAGATGCCCGAAGGCCCCCAATTCGTGTTTCTTTGGTTGGTTTTCGGGCTGTTGAGAGCCACTTTGAGCGAGTAATATTTGCTTCGCACTAGCCCGAAGTCGGCCGAACTATTTTTCCGGGCGAGTTTGTGCAAACTGTCGAACTGCCAGAAGAAGAGGGACAATTCTAAACATTAAAATTTTAGCTTTTTTTTTTTGATTGATAAGTTAAAAAATATCAAGTTAACCATTAGTTTAACGCTCAAATCTTAGATTTATAATTTTGTTCGATTTGACGTTTAGAGCTCAACCAGCCACCGACGGAGCGCCTTTCCGTACCTGCTGTCCGTATCAACATACGAATTTTGGCTACTATGAGTTAATTTTAACAATAATGGAAATTTTATTGAGACTCGGAATTTAAATGGTACTCTTATATGCGCATTTGCAAATTATTTACTGAGGCTTGTGCATGCATATGTGTGTTAATAATATTTTTTACCCTTTAAAAAAATTTCACGGATATTTTTCTAATTAAACATTTTTATCAATTCAAGATGAGTTGATTTTTCCGAAATCATTTGTTTTACGAAATACAAAAAGAATAAATTACTTATTTAGCGCTTCAAAATCGTTAAATATTTGTCAATATTTATACACTTATGGCTGGCTACTCACTCACCAAAGTGTTCCAATGCAATATATGTATGTAAAATAAATAATGAAGTCTATTAAACAACTGACAGATGAGCTGAGTGTGATTGATCATGCTGAGATGGTTGCACTGATCCGCACGAGCATACACAAACATTACACGTGAGCGTGACATCGGTGTTGCCTGCCGGTCGATACTTAAGCGTCAATGAAGCAGTAGACCAGACCAGAATGCAGAACGCTAAGGCGACATCTCGACGACAATCAAATGGCACATCAGTCGCATTCGGAATCGATCACAGACACAGTAGCATGGTAGACACTTTACTTACTTACTTGGAGAGAGGCTGTTCAGTGCTTCGGTTGCAGGCAGCGACCACAAAGTCCGCAGAGCAAGGTAGATTATCTCTACCTTATGAGAGTATGTACATTGGTAAATGTAGTAAATGTATTTGGTTGTTTGTATGGATATGTATGTATGTATTTGAAAGCATTTATTGTCGATTTTTGGTAGTTCATTGTTGTATGGTTTGGAAATTTACGATATCATTTATAAGCTTTTTTATACCATTATTAGTGATTTGCATTTATAAAAGCATTTTTTTGTTCACCGCCGATAACTTAAACTTCTCGCCTTTGTTCTTATTGTTTGTGTTGCTCATTCACCTACATTTTTGATTGATTTGACTTCCATGCAATTTTGAATATTTTTGAGTTGCATGCGGTTTGTTTTAGCTACTGATATATTTTCGATTAAAGAAATATTCCTGCGATGTTGGTAATTAATCATAAGCATTGTTTTGTCGAATAATCTTAATAGAACATAATGACGGGTATTTACTAATTGTATGCGGTGCATCAAAGGGATTTCAATTGCCAAAAATGCTTTCATATAGATAGAAAATTACATACATATAAAGAAAACTTGTCTAGGTAAATTAACATTTTGCTTTACAGTTGCCTTCATACGAAAATTTCCTTTTTTGGTGTAAGTCTATGTATTATTGTTTTAGCTAACTGGCAGAGAGGACGGGTAACCTGCCGGTGTAATCTTTCGAGATGCCATCATTGACTTTATATTTTAAAGATACAAAGAAATACTGTACTTGCATGCATACATTCTCTGTCGCGATTGCCTATATACTGCCAGTTGGAAAATAGCTCACCATCGTCAATGAAATTAACGAGGTATTAGTAATGGTACTTATATTAGTATTGGTTTGGAATTGGTACTCTTATTTGTGTTTGTATTGATATTGGTATTACTACTGGTACTGGTATTTTGGTATCGGTATTGGTATTAGTATTGGCATTGGCATTGGCAATGGAATTGGTATCGGTACTGGTATTAGTATTGGTATTGGTGTTGGAAGTGGTATTTAAATTGGCATTGATATTGGTATTGGTAAAGATACTGGTATAGTATTAGTATTAGTATTGGCTTTGGCATTGGTACTGGTATTAGTATCGGTACTGGTATTTGTATTGGTATTGGTGTTAGAAGTGGTACTGACATTGGTATTGGTGTTGGTATTGGCACTGGTACTCGTATTGGTATTGGGGTTTTGGGTTTGTATTGAAAATTGGTATTGATTTGTATTGGTTAAGCTACTAGTATTTTTATTGGTATTGGTAGATATTAGTATTGTTATTAGAATTGGTACTGGTATTGGTTCTGGTACTCGTATTGGTATTGGTCTTGGAATGTGTGTTAGCATTGGTATTGCTATTGATACTGGCATTGGTATTTGTACTCGTCCTCGCATTGGTATTGATATTGGTACTGGTATTGGTATTTGTATTGGTATTGGTAATCGTATTGGTATTTACATTGGAATTGGTATTTGTACTGGTACTGTTATTGGTACTTGTGTTAGTATCGGTACTGGTATTCGTTTTGGTATTAATATTGTATTTACATACTATATGTATGATACTTTAACCCGCTATAAAATTCATGATAGTTGCGATTCATAAATAATTTTACTCCGTCATATTTATTTTATATATATTTGCCAATTTATAATAACGCTTCGGTCTTAAAATTTACTTCACCGAAAATGCGGTTTAGAGTTATGTGCCTTTTTATACCCGAGCGCACTTGTGCACAAGGGTATATTAATTTTGTTCGCGTAACGGTTGTTTGTAACAGCCAAAACGAATCGAGATAGATATAGACAAATGTATACATAAATGATCAGGATGAAAAAAGAAATCGGTTAAGCCATGTCTGTCTGTCCGTCCGTCCGTCCGTCTGTCCGTCTGTCCGTCTGTCCGTCTGTCCGTGTACACGATAACTCGAGCAAAAATTGAGATATCTCAACGAAATTTGGTATGTAGGTTTCCCTTAATCCAAGGTAGGTTGGTATTGAAAATGGGCGAAATCGGATGTTAACCACGCCCACTTCCCATATAACGGTAATTTCCAGAAATACGAAAACTGCGATATTTCAGTAACTACTGAAGATAATTCACTCAAAATAGATATTTACAATAATTTTTAGACGAAAAATAAGAATATTATAAATTTTTGGAAAATGGGCGTAGCCACGCCCACTTATGGTTACATGTGTATATCTTGGTAACCGCTGCACCAATTTCTTCCAAACTTGGCACAGTTGTTGGCCTTCGCACAACATACCAACTGGCCGAAAATTTTTAAAATCGCTCAATAACCACGCCAACTTCCCATATAACGGTAATTTTCAGAAATACGAAAACTGCGATATTTTAGTAACTACTGGAGATTATTCACTCAAAATTGATATTTATAATAAGTTTTAGACGAAAAATAAGAATATTATAAATTTTTGGAAAATGGGCGTAGCCACGCCCTCTTATGGTTACATGTGTATATCTTGGTAACCGCTGCACCAATTTCTGCCAAACTTGGCACAGTTGTTGGCCCTGGTACAGCATAAAAAACCGCCGAAACTTTTTAAAATCGGACAATAACCACGCCCACATCCCATATAACGGTAATTTAGAGAAATACAAAATCTTCGATAAATCATTAAATATTGAGCTAATTTATTCAAAATTGATGCTTGCAACAATTCCTTACCAAGAAATACGTTTATGGTAAAATTTTGGAAAATGGGCGTGGCACCGCCCACTTATGATCACATATAAGTATATCGGTAACCGTTCTACCAATTTGTACCAAACTCGGTATGGTTATTGTGCTTGCCACATAAAAGCAAAACGTTGAAAATTATTGAAATCGGACTAAAATAACGGCCGCTTCTCATATAACGGTAAATTTCAGAAATGCTTGAAACTTCAATATTTCGAAATTGAAGGACGCTAATTTACTCAAAATTGATACACCCCGGCTTACCATCTAGCGGAAGGTTTCGGAAAGGTGAAAAAACATATATTTAATACTTGCGCCGGGTATTTAATGTTCGGCTCCGCGCGAACTAAGACTTTCTTACTTGTTCTTATTTTTTATTGTTCATTTAACCGTTTAAGTGATTTTGGCTATGCTTCAGAAATCACGACAGTCATTCCTTCTTCTCGGCAGCTGGCACCAGTTGGAAACACTTAGTGAAGCTAGGTACTCCTCCGCCTGATCTTTGCTAGTCTGAGGAGAACTTCTTCCTCATATAAGTACTACCAACAGCGAGCGGTGTATTTTAATTCACTGATGTAAATTTCGTTGTAAAGCTAATACATAGTATCTGCAAAGATACTTGGTAGAATCACTGCAGATAGACCCCTATACGCAGCTTCAAATGTGCGACACGATGTCATTCATAGCTAAAATGTTTCTTATATCGATTTGAGCGGTTTTTGCATGAGATAATATTTCACTAAAATTACTTAGATAAATAACTGAACAATATTTTATTATAGCATATTGTTATATTGATGAAATTCTAAATTCAACTTAGATGATAAGTTTTTACTGTTTGTATTCAGCATTATTGCACCTTTCAGAGCACACAAGAAAAGTGTCGCTTGCAGCAATCCGGATACGCTGCGCTTGTGTCGATGAATTCGCCCCACTTACAAGTCGGTTTATCTTTCGGATCGTACTTAATCAAAGAAAGCGGAGAAGGCAGAGCGCTTACCGGGTCGCAGCTGTGAGTAAATAGTCGAGAGAATGTAGTATGAAATTTAATCAGTAAAAATTTGTTCACTTTCTAATATATTTGTATCTATGTATATATTAGGGTGGTCCAAAAATATACAGGAAAAGCGATTTTTTGCATTTTTTCCATTTCCTCCCCCGAACTAAAGAATATCGAATATAAGGAGACAAGGGGACAATACATTTTTTTGTAGAATTGCTAAAAAAAAGCGGTATAAACAAATCATTTCTGACTGAATAAGAATATTTTCCTTCATAATTCTTCAAAAACTATTATGATGCACACTTAACTAAAATATTTTACTAACTATTTTTTTATAAACTTCGTGATGTGGTTAAACATATAATAACACATTTTTGTAAATAAAAGACAAGATAATCGGTTATAAACAGGGACCGAACATTATTGATGAAAATTGTCATTGAAAAATTCACTATGAAGGAAACGTTCTACAACTAAGTGATATATACCAATCGATTTCTTTTTTTTGCCGAGACTCAAATTTGAAAAAAAAATTTATTTCTAATTTTTATGCAAAATTAAAAAATATAACAATTATTTTTGATTTTTATTTTAAAAATCCAAAATAACAATTATTTTCGATTTTTATTTAAATAATGTGCAAATAGAAGTTATTTTCGCAGTTAAGAAGTTGTTGGAGAACCAAAGTTTACTACGACTTATACAAATGACTTCTATAAGTATGATTTTAAAAATAAAAGTCAGTGACTGATTTATATTAATGACTTTTATAAATAAAAGTCCTCAATAACTGTTATCTAAGATATATAATTTAAAAATAAAAAATAACTGTTATTTGCATATTATTTAGAGAAAACTAAAAAATAATTGTTATTTTGGATTTATAAAAAAAAATCATAAAAAACTGTTATTTAAGGATTAATTAAATAAAAGCCAAAAAATAATTGTTAAAGAGCGATTTTTTTTTTTTAAGTTGTAACTGTTACGGTTCCTGGTTATAAAGGACCAGTTAGTAAATTTTCAAAGTCAAATACGCATCATATTTTTAATTTTTGTAGACTTATGAAGATAAATATTTTTATTCGATGGAAAATATTAATTTTTAATGATTTTATAGCAATTCTCCCAAAAAATTTAAAACATATAGAAAACTTTATAGCCCATCCGGCACAGTTAAATACATATTTACTGATTTCAAAATTTCAAAATACGGTTCACCTTGTTTTCGATACTCTTCAGTTCTGAGGGGGCTGCAAAAAGACGTTGGACCACCCTAATGTACCCACATAAGTATAGTGGTGCAGAATATTTTACTAATGTATGTATATACTAATGTAAATATTCAACCCACTCACGTTTCAATGGTTGCCATGCCTTGTGCATTATCACAAGTAAATTGTGCACAATCCATTACCGGATGCTTGATACTTTGTCCCGGCGCTAGCACCTTATCTTTGACGACACACTTGCCTGGATGTGCTAAAAATTCGAATAAACAAATATTTTATTACTTATTCAAATTTTTAGTTATTTTTATTTCCAATCGCTTATGCACCTGGATCTCTAAAGTGACGCTCTGTATAAACACCAGCTTTAGTTAAGCTTATAAAGCATAAGCAAATAATTAAAATCTTATTGAACATCTTGTCACTTGTGCTACTCAAATTCAACTGACTCGTAAAGGCTGTGTTTTATAATTTCGATTATTTTTTGTTTACAAAATATTTGGGTCGCAAAGGTTATCATCGCCTAACAGATTTTTCAAGTTCGCGAATCGATGGGTTGTCAGCTGTTGACATGGATGATAAGAAAATAATTTACACATTTTTATACTTACTTATGTTTCAAACAGATGTTATAGACGGTAAATGTGTACAAAAAAATTAATAAAATATATACAATTTGTGTAGGCATGTATATCAATTTGAGATTTATTGAAACTTTTGACATTTTGAGAAAAATAACTTGCCGAATTCAAATTAGAATGCCGTTCGCTCAGATCGACGTTAATTTTAATAGAGAAGGGTCATTGTCTGGTGAAATTAATCAAAAAGATGACGGTCCTTGGTGAAATCCGGATCAGCGCTTGTCATTGCGGGTAAAGTTGCTGCAGTTTACTCCGCCTTTTAGTTTTCTCCTCCCAATTGGCGTACGATCACGTGGAAATTCTTGGAAACTTCAATTTCTTATTGAAAAAAAATAGATCGAAGCGTTTCGTGGCTGGCTCCAGAAGGATCCTTTTCTACACATGTCCCGCCAAGCTATGAACGGGAGACCAACAGCTTCTGAAATAAAGGTTCAATAAATATATTCACGGTTGTATCGAAGCTAGACGACAGAGCTGAAGGAGGTGTATTCAATCAGGAACTGTCAGTATATCTCACAGACAGGGTTGCCAACTATACTTCGCTATGAATTGCTATATTGAGTATAAAACAGTGCCAAAATGTGCCAAATTAGAAAAATAAAAGTGCCAAAAAAGCTGTAATTCTTTTTAGTCCTTTCCATTGAGCATTAAAATTACAAACACATTCCTAAAACAAACGTCCAATGCAAAGTAAGATAAACCAGTTGTATACACTATAGAAATTAGAAAATTTTAGTTGACAAAAAGAAGTACACGCATAGGATTTCAAAAGTGCCAAATTGAAAATTAAGTGCCATTTGAAGTAAAATACGGCCAAAAATGGCACGGTGTGCGCCAACTTGGCAGCCCTGCTCACAGATAGCCTGCGTCACGGAGCCCTACTGCTGCTGTTGTTGTTAGGAGGACGAGATGAGTCGTCTCAACACTTCCTTCTTAGCCGCCCGGCTTACGCCACACCAAGGTTAAAACAACTCGGCTCGGTGTATTCTGAGCAATTCTCTAAATTGAACATCAGCTGCCTGCGGAACTTTATTTTAAGCACCTAGCGCTGTTTCTTACATCATACGGATCACCTGTAGTTATGGTTACGGTTAATCTACAATGTGGCAACACAATGCACAACTTCATTGATGTTCAGGTCAGGTTAAATTTGTCGAGTTAAATTCAGATTTTCAGGGTAAATGTTTTATAGTTTGCTCGGTCATCTTGTTAAAAAGATATTTGTAAATGTAGGTACAGTTTACACGCTTATGAGCTGATCGCGGCTACCAAGCATTTTTTTCGGTTATGCCGGGGGGCAAGTAAAGATTATGAGTTAAATATTTTAAAATTATTAATGCTATTATAAGAAGAAAATCAATTATCTTACTACAACACAAATACTTCTAACTCTAAGAAAGCAAAATCTAGTACAATATACTAAGTCGAATTGAGAAGTTTGACAAGTCATTATCCTAAAATACATGTACATACATATTTGCTTACATTTTCAAGTACATTCATATATATATTAATGTATGTACTTTGATATATACAGAAAACCGTCCGTCTGTTGGCAGCCAAGCGTACAAAACTTCCGCTCTATTTGCATCTGAATATTAAAAAAAGCACAATTTTAAAAGACCAAAAGCTTACCAACCATTCTGTTTAAAATACTATATACATGCATAAAGTAAAATGTTATTTACGAGTAAATAATTAGAAAAGAAAGCTACAACAGAGAACCAAAGAAAAATATTTTGTACATACACTTTTACATAGGCACTTGCTGACATAAGGTGGCGAGAATGTAAATAGGGAAAATACATTTTAGCAAGTTATGGCTATTTTTCTTTGTTTAAAAAATGTTTTTTATTTTTTTAATGAAAATATAGCCCTGCAGAAAAAAATTATCAGTTAATAAAAAATAGCCCACTTGTAGTTAGCTTTTTTGCGGAATTCCTATAAAATATGTAACTTGCTACAAAAAGCTAACTTGAAACTAGTTGACAACTAATGCAGGAGTAATGAAGGAGATTGTTTTCTTTAAACGCGTTGCTATTTAAATAGCCAGCACTTCGCAAATACTTTTTCGAATTGAGGACAAATTAAAGGAAGATCGAAATTTCATATTATCATTTTGAAGATATGTCTGACGGGGTTCGAATATGGGACCTACAGCATAATATGGAAACAAATATGAAATGTAATAAAATAAATAAAGTAAATAAAAATAAAAAAAAATTTAAAAAAATATTTTATGTTTCCTATTGAAATTTTATATCCAAAAGTAGTTATTTACATGAAATTCAGAGGTAAACAACCCTTGACTATTTCACGGATTTAGTACCAAAATTCAAAATGATATTATTTGCAACTTATGTTTATTTATTTATGTTTAATGATTTTCATATGAAATATAAGTCAATCTATAACAGAAACCACATAAATAATTTTTCAATGCTTGCACAAATTTCCCAAAAAAAATCAGTCTTTAAAAAATTGTTTCAAGAATATTTTTTCGAGGGTGTTGTGCATAGTTTTCCAAATAACGCATGAAATAAATATATTATGAATATATAGAAGAAAATGCGCAGCACCCTCGACCAAAAAAAAAAATTCTCAAAAATAAATGCTAATCTTGAAACATGCACTTCATTAGACTAAAATTGGATGTGATACAAAACTGCATACCCAAAAATTTTCTAAAAATTCGGGTTGAAACGTTTGAAATTTTGATGAAAATTTTTTCGAAGTTGGATACATTTTTTGTGAAATTTGTGCAAGTTTTGAAACTTTTAATTATGTGGTTTTTGTTATAGATTAAATTATATTTTTAATGAAAATTATTAAAAATAAATAAACAAACATACATAAGTTGCAAACATTATCATTTTAAATTTGGGTGCTAAATCTTTGACCATAGCTGTATGTACTACAAATAGCATATGCATTTATGTATACTAAATATATGTATCTATGTATCTCCAAAGAACGATACGCCTGATTGAATTGGTCATTTTAATCGTGTGCCATCAACATTCACCCACACTTCCTCTTACGGTAGGTATGTATCTCTCTCACCTAGTAACAGTAATTAATCGTTTCACCTCAGCACTGCATCAAAAACAGCGAATGCACTCATTGAACTCTGCTGAAATGGCTCGGAATGCAGGGGACACACAACCAGGCAGCCGTGTCGGCATCGAGGAGGCCTGTTTGTGAATACACAGCATTTAACCCATTTGACAATTCATTGACTCGCTGTCACACGCTTGCTGTCGCTTCTGTTTAGTTTGCTCAGCGCAAATAGAAATGCGTAAAAAGTCGCCATACCCCCGCACACCTCTCTAACATTTGCCCTCGTCTCTTTATTCTTTACTCATTGCGCTCCATAAATACATATTTGTCTTTCTATTGTTTTTTCTCTATGAGTAACTTCAATTGTGGGTGATTTTATTTGTTAAAAAGTATTTGTATGTATGTATTTGTGTACTCCTATGCATGTATGTAGATATGAGTTTGTTTGCTTGTTGACTCAGTGCATTGTGCGGCATTTTTGTTTTTTTTTTGTTGTGTTGTGTTTTGCTTCAATGCCATTTTCTAAATTTTCCATTTAATCATTTGACTTTTGATGGGAAAGTAAAACAAAAGAAAATTGACGAATTGTCTGCTTGCCCGAGTTGTTCTGCTCTATTTATGTGCAATATGCATACAATTGCCTACGAATATGCATTAACATAGATCTGTATATACATACATATATGTATGTACTCACATTAATTCACTTAATTTTTGGTGCGCCTAAATGAGAAAAAAGCAAAGATAAATATTTGGTAAGCACAAACAAACGAGTACAAAAGGGTTCGTTGTAGGATTGTCATAGGATACTGGCAACTCAGAAAGTTATTCCACGTAAATTGTATTTAGTGCGATTAAATGCAGATTTACTTATAATCCTAATTTAGTAGAGACTAAAAGAACCTTTTTTTAGTTGTAGTTAAATTCAAAGAAATAACGGTATCAGTCATTCATATAAGTACATATTTATGTATATCTATGTTAGGTAAATGTATTTAGATAGTATATATATATATATATATATATATATGTATGTATATAGAAGTATAAAGATACACGCATATGTAAATTTTTCAAGCACCTCTACAAGATTATCTTCGTCAAATTGTGGGAGTGGAGAAAAGTATACTAGATGATGACGACTTTTCTTTAATATACATACACTAGCCGGCCTCGTATGCGCGAGGCTTCGCTACACGCTGAAAGTGTAGATATTAAATAAGATGCGATTGACAACTAAACAGGTTGCAACCCTACTAAAAAATATTATATAATTGCGCATCTGGAGGTCAAACCCTTTCATTTGACACCTCATTTCTTGTAATCTAACGAACAACCCACATTTTTTAATTTTACGCACATGTTACCCTCTTCGAAAAATGAGACCTTACTTGAAATCGGAAGGTCAAGCCTTTTCCCGTGACACCTCTTTTTTTTTTTGATTGAATGAACTGTGCAAATCTAATGTCATTAACAAAAAATTCCCTCGCGTATTATACATACATAATTTTTAAATAGGTGGCAACCCTACTCAAAAAGTAATACATTATGGAACATCTAAAAACCGAGACCTTTTATTTGACACCTCATTTCTTGTAATCCAACGAACAGTGTGGATTTAGTATTTTTTTAGACAGGTGGCAATCCTAGAGGAATTTAAAGTACTAAAGATAATATTCCTATCGATACAGATTATACTTAAAAAATCTCGTATAAATGCGTTCAGTAGTTTTTGAGATTAGCGTGGTCAA